CGTTTAGTTTACACTCGAAGTAGATTGGTCTCTCTAAGCGAGATCCCAATTCGTCGGTCATCCGACGTGACATCTCCATTCCCTCCTTCAGGGAACGAGGGTTACCATACGTAACCGAGACGTTACTTTTTATGGAACGTAATGCGTTGTTACTTTTACGTTACTTTTTGTCACCTGTGCTGGGATTTATTTGTTTTTAATAACAAAAAACCCAAGTTATATTTTGGACAAATGTAAGGGTTCTTTCACACCAGAAGTGAAAGTAATAATCTTCTGCAGTTACTCCTGATTTCTCTCAACACGGGGACAGGAGAGCTGTCAGTCAATAAATGGGAAAACAAAGTAACTGGCGTAACTTATTTAAAAAAGTAACTGTAAATTTAAAAGTAATGCGTTACTTTACTAGTCACTTTAAAATAGTAATCTGATTACGTAACTCGCATTACTTGTAATGCGTTATCCCCAACACTGATTAAGAGCATAATTTCTCTTGATTTTGAGGTGAAGTATGATTTTGACGTGTTCTTGACATTTGTTCGTTGTCTGTCATGCTGAAGATGTAAGATGTGAGATGTTCTCAGAGTCACTGTGGGGGGGTGTTTGTGTGTGTATCACATCACAGCAGAGGTTAAAGGTCACAGTGAAGAAACCTACATGTCAGTCACTGTGTGTATGTGTGTGTGTGTTTTCTCTGCACCGTCGCTCTCAGGAACAGATGGAGTGTATTTCCTCCACACCTCTGCCAAACACAAAAAGAAAGGTAGAAGCAGATGTGTGTGTGTGTGTGTGTCCTGCGTCATGAACTCCTCACATGCGTGTGATTTGATGTGTTCGGTTTTGTGTGTCCACGCGGAATCTGTTCTAGATTGAGGCTGATTGTTCAGTTGAGCTCCAGAATCACAACAGAAGATGTGAATAACTCTGGATGCGCTTGTGTGTCTCTGACGGATCTGATTATATAACGAGAACTGCTCTTTCCTCAGAGCAAAGGAAGAACTACACCAAAAACAGCATCAACAGCCTGACGGACACGTCACAGTACCATGTGGAGGTGAGAAACGCATCCGTTCAGGAGATTAGACAGAGAAATCAACAGACTCCTGAGATGAGCCAAGATCTGATCACTTCAGACTCAAACAATTGGACACACATCAACACGGACAGGTTGTGTGACAAGAACTCATCCTCAAAAACCAGGAAAATACAACACCGATGACACCTGACTTTCTTTCTTCTGTAAAAGAAGATGCTTTGAAAGTGTTGTTCGTACAATGGAAGTCAATGGGGTTCAGTGTTGTTTAGACCTTAACGTCCTTCAAAATATCTTGTTTACAGGTTTGAGTGGGATAAGGGAGAGTAAATGATGACAATGTCTGTCACTGTCACTTTAAATATGTATAAATATGAATGAAAATGTCTTTAAGGACGTTTGGCTGCCACTTGATATCTATTGTTAATTCAAGCATGCTATTTTAGCATCATTGAGATACTATTATAGTTTTTATGAATATTTAGAATGCGTTTTAATTTTATTTAAACTATTAGTCATTTTGTCATTTTTAGTAGTTTCTGTTATTATTATATATGTCTGCATAGTTTTTATTAATCAGTGTAAATTATTTTAGTGCATGAAGTTAAACTAAATGAAAATGAGAAATGTCGCCTTCTAATCCAGCTGAAATAAAATATATTTTATTTCAGCTGACATTTATTTTATTTCAAGTAACAAAAATGTTTTTAATGGTTTGAATTAAAATTTTAGTTTGAGTTTGAGTTAACCCTGTCATGACATCAAGTAAAATTATTTATGTAGTGCTTTATACAATACAGATTGGAAAATAAGTGTTAATGTTGCAACATTAAACAAATTCCGTTTTGCCTGTAAAGCAGCTCATTATTCAGATCAATTCGGTTCATGTTTTGTTCTCATCCGATAGTGTCAGTGCAGTTAAATTGATAATATTACTGAATATTAACCATCTTTTAAACCCCAAAAGCAAAGCAAAGCTATTTGAGAAGCTCTGTGTGTTTTTTTGCCTGCTTTGAAACAATAAAGGTGACTTGACTTTTGTCTCCTGCAGCATCTGACCACGTTTGTGATGGACCGTAAGGAGGCCATGCTGACCATCGAGGACGGCGTCAGAAAGCTGCGTCTGCTGGATGCTAAAGGAAAGGTTTGGACGCAGGACATGATCCTGCAGGTGGACTGGAAAGCCATCAGCCTCATCGACAACGACAGCAAGGTACGAACCCAGCGATCCAGTGTAGGGTTGGGTATCGTTTCAATTTGATCGATTCTGATTCGATTCCAGTGTGATTAAAAAAATAATATTAAACATATTTGTGACCCTGGAGCACAAAAGCAGTCTTAAGTCGCTGGGGTATATTTGTAGCAATAGCCAACAATACATTGTATGGGTCAAAATTATACATTTTTCTTTTATGCCAAAAATCATTAGGATATTAAGTAAAGATCATGTTCCATGAAGATATTTTGTAAATTTCCTACCGTAAATATATCAAAACTTAATTTTTGATTAGTAATATGCATTGCTAAGAGCTTAATTTGGACAACTTTAAAGATGATTTTCTCAATATTTAGATTTTTTTGCACCCTCAGATTCCAGATTTTCAAATAGTTGCATCTCAGCCAAATATTGTCCGATCCTAACAAACCATACATCAATGGAAAGCTTATTTATTCAGCTTTCAGATGATGTATAAATCTCAATTTCAAAAAATTGACCCTTATGACTGGTTTTGTGCTCCAGGGTCACAAATTATATTTTTCTCCCATTCGAAAATCAATCCCGCATTCATGAGGGATTTATATGTCACTCCTGAAACTGTGCTGCTTATACAGGGTATATGGCCGAAGAACAAAACTTTTATTCAAATTCTGAACAGATTATGTTTAGCCTAGAAAGTGCGCAAATAGCCCTTACTTTACAATCACTAAAAAGGTGCCACTTACTTCACGATCTCACAAAGTTCCTTTATAATCAGTGAACCTCTTATTAACGTCGTGTTACATTGAGAGGAATCGCAAGCGTGCAGGAAAAAAATCTTTGAGTGAACACAATGGCCAATCACAAGTGTTCAAGAAATCAACAGATATGTCTGTGATTGGCTACGAAAATACGTTGTAAATAGAATCTTTTGGCGATTTTCCAGAGCGCAAACACAAATACGCACTGGAGCCTTGACCAAATCTGTTTTGCCAATATCCTATTATTACAGTTTTAACTGAAAAAAATGGATGTGTCAATTGCGTGAGTCTCTTGCTGAATGCGTGAGAGTTGGCAGCCAGGCCTTAAGTATCCTGTAATTGGTATTAATTATAATTGGTAGTAATTAAGTATTCTGGAATTGGAATCGATTTTCGATTCCCAACCCTACTCCAGTGATACATAGGGCTGGGTTTTGACACAAATTTCACGATTCGATTCGATTCTCATTCACAAACTTGCGATTCGATTCGATTCAATATTGATTATTTTGGATATGTATCAGGTACAGTACATGCCAAATTTTCTCAAGGAAAAAAAATCTCTTAACTTGTGCTGTAAAATATAGCCTACATGAGAGTCAGTTGGTACTACATTACAATAACATTGAAGGTTAATATTTGTAGGCTATACAACTGCTAAAATCACACTTAATGAAGTTTTTATAATAATAAAGTTACAACTACATTTCATTTTTTTCAAATATGAACATTTAAATGGTGGCTGTCATAAAAACTTGACAGATTTATTTAAACATAAATTAAACATGGAAGAACAGTAAAAAATTATATTGTTGGTGCATATATTTAGCAAAATTCCCCTCTCTACAGTTTATTTTTCTAGCTGACTAACGAGTTTATGGTCACAGAATATGTTTTTCTGAGGTAAATGTGACGTGACATTGTTTACAAGCCGTTATATTGACGTCTTTGCACGGCTGAAACTCTGATTGAGTGATTACACGAGACAGGATACGGATTGTAAAGTTATACTCTTTCTTTTAACTTGCCTTCGGATGTTTAGTCATGTTTATTTTGTGCTATAACTAGTAATAAAGTGGAGGAGATGATCAGTTCACATGCGCTATGCGCTGCCGCATCTGAAAACGGCATTTATTGTTTGAATACTGCAATACAGTGGACAGAATTTGAAATCTGAGACTTTTTGTTTCATATCAAAAGTAACAAAACACAATGCTTATTGCGATATATTGGATGGGAAGTGCCCTTCAACATTCCGTCTATTAACTGAAAACAGAGATATCAATATTTTTTACCCAGCACTAGTGATACGTGTATGGCCTGATCATGTGCTTGTTTCAGAACGAGCTGGAGAACTTTCCTCTGGCCTCGATCCAGCACTGTCAGGCCATGATGAACGCCTGCAGCTACGACTCCATCCTGGCGCTGGTGTGTAAGGAGTCCGGCCAGAGCAAACCGGACCTGCACCTGTTCCAGTGCGACGACATAAAGGTCTGGTTTCACTCCTTCATGTGTTTGCTGAGTGCTGACCGTCAGTGCTGGGAAGGTTACTTTGGAAATCTAATAGGTTACAGATTACCAGCTACCCTATTTAAAATGTAATAAGTAGTGTAACTATTTCAATTACTTTATTAAAGTAATGTAACTGATTATATTTGATTACTTTTCTAAATTTAAATTTCGAAAGGTTTTCGGTTACACTTTATTTTAAGGTGTCCTTGTTACAGTGTAATTATACATTTAAGTACTGAGTAATATTAATTAACTACATGTACTTACTATATGGTTAGGGTTAGGATTAGGGTTACTTGCATGTAATTTATTATGTAGTTTTATATATATATATATATATATACTGTATATAAATATATATTGTTATTATAATAGTAAGTACATGTAACGTGTAACAAGAACACCTTAAAATAAAGTGTTACAATTTTTTCACAATTTTTCTCAATTGTTAATCATTTTCAAACATTTAAAGCAGGCAGGGTTAACCTTACAGTAGGACTCAATACTGATTACTGTCAGACTTTCAAAATCCTTTATCACTTGAATTGATTATAATTATTTAGTCACTGCAAAATCAAACTTTAGCACCTCTTTTTACTTTTAGATCGTTCTGAGGTTAAATACAGATTTAAAATCATAACAAGAAATAGTTTAATAGCTATGATACTGTTTTTTTTTTTATCAAATCCTTGCATAGCTATGACAGAAAACACTGACACTAACAATGCCTTGAAATAAAACAGTTAATAAAAAATAAATAAAAAAAGCATATACACAAACCCAAATAGGAAATAAAACAGTTATCCCCCTTTGTAATAGTTAACATTTTCATAAGTAACCGTCATTTAATTACACATTTTTCTCAGTAACTGTTACTGATTACAGTTACATTTATTTTGTAATTAAATCAGGCCAATTTGATCCACATGGACATCGAGAGCGCCGTCAGCGACCACAAGGGTGGGAAGGTCAAGAAGCGTCCGGAGGTGCTGAAGTAAGTCCAGCGCTTGTGAATTATGAAGATGCCTGTTGCCACGGTAACGCAGCATCCGCTTCTCTGTGCCTGTCAGAATGATTCTGAAGAGTGACGGGACCGTCCCTCCGCCCCCAGGAGGCCCCGCCCCCGAGCCTCCAGGAGCTGTCAATCAAACGGATGGCAAGAGCCGAGTGGACAGTTGGACTGCGTGGACCAATAAGCAGCAGGAGCGTAAGTGGAGGCGTGTCTGTCATTAACCCTCGAGTTCCTGTTCCAGAGTCTCATTGTGCGCGTGTGTGTGTGTGTGTGTGTGTGTGTGTGTGTTTGTGTTCAGATGATCCACCGAGAGATTACACAGAGCTGGATGGCTCTCCTGAGATGAGCGCAGCGCAAGTGGACAGAGAAGTGGTGAGTATTTACACTGATACACCACATTCTGTTCCTGTTCCTGCGGATGCTTAAAAAGTCTTAAGAAGTATACATTTGATTTTTAAAATTCAAGGTTATTAAGTCTTAAAAAGTCTGTGTATGCATGTATGCAGTTATATGCCCCCAAAATTCAATATACACAGGCATTTTTGCCCCAATGAGTTTTTGTCATATATGATGTAGTTATATCAAAATATCACATGAGCAAGAGTGTCGTTTTCCCAAATATCAGCACAAATGCAACTGTGATATTTATTTTCTACAACAGTTACATAAACGATCATTTACATTTTAGACACAACACTGTCAGTATTGTTTGTTTTGTCTTTATTTTGCCAACAACAATTTCAAAATAAAACCACAGCAGAACCGAGTCTGAGCAACACACACAAATGATAATGATTTCATTTGATTGGTAACAGTTTTTATTCTAATTGAATTTAATTTGAATGCTAGAGTGTGACATAAAAGGTGATTTATATGCATAAGTATAGAAAAAAATCCCCTTATATCGGTAAAAGAAAATGTCCCTGGAAATCATTTTAATTTGAGAAATATTACCCCTTAATAAAAAAAAATTCTGTCACTGCTGTGAACTGCACATCCCTTATCATTTTTATTTATCCAGGTCTTAAAAAGCCTTAAAATTAGACTGTCCAGGTCAATGAGTCGAGTCCGTCACTGCAGATAAACTGGGTCTGAAACTAACTTTTTGACACACCTGCCAATTGCAATAAAATATTTAACATCTATAAATATTTTTTACCGGCCATTGAAACTGTATGTGTGGAAATGCATTAAATACAGGCTGAACAAATTGGGCAAACAAACCAAATAGTGATTTTTTTTTTTTTTTGGCAAAAATTGTGATTGCAATTTATAGTGCAATTTTATAATATGATAATATTTCGCAGTGGATAAAACACATCCTGAAGACTTTCAGTCAGTTTGATGGTTGTGTGAGAGTCACGTTGGTGTTGCACATGTCTGTGTGTGTGTGTGTGTGTGTGTGTGCGTGTGTGTGTGTGTGTGTGTGTGTGTGTGTGCGGGCCGAGGTGATCCAGACGTCTGGAGGAGTGGATCTGGCTAAAAGCGTGATCGTTCCTCTCCTCACCAGAGAAGCCACTGACTTCCTGCACGCGGCGGGTTCGGCGGAGGAGAGACACCTGTGGGTCACGCTGGGAGACGGATGGACCAAATGCAGGTACTGGAGCGTCTCTCTTAATAACAAAACTGACCGATATTTAAAACTTTTCATAGAACAAAATCAAACAAGATATAAATCTCTTAACAGAAACAAAAGCAACCGATACCTAAATCTCAAAACCTAAAAAATTAAACCGACTGATGTTTAAATTTTTACAGAACAAACACAGACGATATTTAAATCTCCTAACCAAAATTTTTTTACATTTTTTACAGAACCAACACAGCCGATATTTAAATCTCCTAACCAAAAATTTTTTACATTTTTTACAGAACCAACACAGCCGATATTTAAATCTCCTAACCAAAACATTTTAAAATTTTTTACAGAACCAACACAGCCGATATTTAATTCTCCTAACCGAACAAAAACAACAGATATTTAAATCTATTACCAGAACAAAACCGACTGATATTTAAATCTCTTAAATGAACAAAAACAGCTCATATTTAAATATTTTAGCAAAACAAATATGACCAATATTTTAATCTCTTAACAGAACAAAACCAACCAAAACGTCTTATTAGAACAAAACTGACTGATAATTCAGTCTCATGATAGAACAAAGCCAACCAACATTTAAATATTTTAACAGAACCGACCAATATTTGTTTCTTAACCGATATTTAAACATTTTAATAGAACAAAACTAACTGATATTTAAATATTTTAACCAAACAAAACCAACTTCTATTTAAATCTCTTAACAGCACAGAATCGACCGATATTTAAATGTCTTAATAAAACAAAAACAACAGATATTTTAATCTGACCAACATTTAAATCTCTTAATTGTCTTTGAAAGCACAGACATGTGTTTGAGTCACTGCTGAACCGATATAAGTGCTAGACAACACTATAAATACAATATAGCTAGATCTAAATCTGGAGGATCACTCATCTCATCATCATCTCATCCAGCACTATAACCCGCTCTAAAACTCTAAGACACATTATAGAGATAACAGTAGGAATGTAATCCTGCTCTGAAAGCATGTGTATTACTGATGCACGGATGAGCTAAAACGTCACCCGAATCCACAGCTTCAAATAAATTATCACATTCAGGGTTTGTACGGTCACGAAAAACCTGGGAAAGTCATGGAATTTTAAAACAGCAATTTCCAATTTGCCTGGAAAGTTTTGGAAAAATAAATAAACCCATAAAGTTTTGTAAAAGTCATGGAAATCTATTTCACAATTCTCTGTATATTAGAATTATGTTTAATCAGGTCCTGAATTTTGGTGTGCATTTGATTGCGTATATATGTGACCCTGGACCACAAAACCAGTCATAAGGGTCAATTTTTCAAAATCGAGATGTATACATCATCTGAAACCTGAATAAATGCTTTCCATTGATGTATGGTTTGTTAGGATAGGACAATATTTGGCTGAGATACAACTATTTGAAAATCTGGAATCTGAGGGTGCAAAAAAATCAAAATATTGAGAAAATCATCTTTAAAGTTGTTCAAATTAAATTCTTAGCAATGCATATTACTAATCAAAAATTAAGTTTTGATATATTTACGGTAAGAAATTTACAAAATATCTTCAAGGAACATGATCTTTACTTAATATCCTAATGATTTTTGGCATAAAAGAAAAATCAATAATTTTGACCCATATAATGTATTGTTGGCTATTGCTACAAATATACCCCAGCGACTTAAGACTGCTTTTGTGCTCCAGGGTCACATATCGCATTACTCATTCCAGCAGCTTTCGACTTTAAAATAATGGAAATTCCTGCAAAACATTTATTCAATATTGCATGATGAGTAAATAAATCCACACAAACCATCAGATGAAAACAGCGCGAGTTATTCAGCTGTACTGCGTCCTCTCTCTTTGACCTTCTCTTCACATCGACGCATCTAGAGCTGCTGCACGCTGCGATACAAGACTTTAGCTCGCGTTTTGGTATAGTTGACAGAATTGTCAATTGCCTAATCGGTCATTGTTGGATCGTCACAAAAAATTTATTACTTTCACGTCTTCTTAAGCCATTCGGTACTCGCGCTCTCCAGAGGCGCTTTTCTGTTCGCTTCTGTGGCCCAGCTAACCAATCACAACACACACTGGCCCAGCTAACCAATCACAGCACACACTGGCCCAGCTAACCAATCACAGCACATTTCGTATAAAATATGTGAAAAATTATGTTTTTTTCGAACAACCTAGTATGAGAGCCTGTTCTAGTACACCCTCAAAACAAAATCAAAACTTTGTAAAAGAGCATAATAGGACCCCTTTAATATGCTAATTTACATTTTATTCAATTTCTGTAGCCTATTTAAAACACATTCATATTTTAGAAAATGTAGTTAATATTTGTATCATTAATGATTTATCTGATCCACACGCGAATAATCAGAATGCATTTTTATTATTACCCGACCTGTGGATATAACCGCCATCCGCACATCACTAATGTGTATTGTGATGTGTCTTGTGTGGAGGGTGGAGTGGCCGAAGGATCACCCGTTTCCTCCGCACACGCTGTGTTTCCGGGACGGCTGGGAGCCGCCGGTGCTGGTGTCTCGTGAGCAGGACGTGGCTCAGCTGGCGGAGAGGCTCGGCGCGGTTCAGAGACCTGTGGACGTGAGACGCTCTTTCACCTTTAGCACTTACAGTGTGACGCTGTGAAGTACTTGTTGAAGTGAAAGTGTTTTCTCTCCCGACAGCAGCCGGTGGTCCAGGACTTCCCCGGCGCAGACGGGTACGGCTACAGTCACACTTCTCACAAGCGTTTGCACCTGCTGAAGCCAGACATGGCCGTGGCTGCTTTTAAACACGCGGTCAGCCGTCATGTAGATAGGTAAAACCCACCAGGGTACGAGCGACCGCACCACGCGCCCTGGAGAACCGGCTCAGCGCGCGCTACGCTTCTGGGTCTGTTCTGGGTTCATTCTGCTTCTCTAAACACTCAACTCTGACCTGAACTCTCAGTCTGTTAAAACGTCCAGGTTTCTGTCTTCTGATGGAGTAAAGACTCTTCCCGTCTTGTTCTTGAGCTCTGAGACGCTCCTCCATGGCGGCAGCGGTCGGTCAATAACTACACTCATCAGTAGATTCAGCATTTAAAGAGAGCGAGCTTGTGTTTAAGAGATTTTGCTGCAAAAAAATCATGTTGTTCCTCAGTGTTTTTGTCTTGTCTTGCAGTACAAATATATCAACATTTTTAAACCAAGATACATTTACTTGAGAAGCAAAATTACTTCAGAAATATAGTGGGGGAAAAATCACACACACAAAAAAAAAAAAATTATTTTCCATATACTAGATGCTAAGCAGATTTTTTTTTTTTATTATAGTCTTGGATATGTCAATGATTAGCAACAACATTCATTTTGATGCATTATTTGTTTTTTGTGCAGTTTCGGATTTAAAAAATGGTGCTATAATGTGGAAAATAGTAAGAAGCTGAAAAAGTACTTGCCAGCAGAATGAAAGCCTGCATGATTTTATGCTTAAATGGTTTAAATTAAAGATGAAATATTGCAGTTTTAATGCGAATGTTTCAGTGTTGACATATTTTTGCACCTTGTGTAAAATAGACTTATTAAAGGAAATGAGTGTGAAATTTTATTTATTTATTTTTAGTATATTTATTAATAAAAGTCTAATAAATCTAATAAAAGTCTAAGTCTAATAAAAGTCTAATACACACTTTTGACCAAATTTATGCTGTTTGCATTAACAACTAGTTTGATCAAAAACACACACACACACACACACAAGGGTTAAAACAAGACCAAATATCTGCCAGTTTAGTCAAAACAATTAATCTTGTTTTTATTTTTGTCACCCCATTAGCAGATATTCTTGTTTTAAGCTCAAACTCACTTAATTTTGATTATTATTTCAGAAAACAAGGCAAGAAAACAATATCTTAAGTCATTTTGCTTCTCAGTTAAACATATCTTTTTGTAGTGAAAAACAAGACGTGATTTTTTTTTGCAGCATGCCTCATTTGTGGAGATTCATTGACTCTTTCTCTTCAGGAACCTTGAGGCTCACAGCCGGACGCAGAGGAACTTTGCCAAATCCAGATACGACTTTGTGGCCAGAAACAACACTGAACTGTCTGTGATGAAAGACGAGGTGGTGGAGGTACGTCACATGATGATGATGATGATATGACTGATGATGTGTCATGTGACGTGTCGATCTGATTGGTCGTCAGGTGCTGGATGACAGGAAGCAGTGGTGGAAGGTGCGAAACGGGTCGGGGGCTATAGGATATGTGCCAAACAACATCTTGGAGATCAGCAGGGCAGTGGACATGACAGGTCGCGGGGAGCCCATCTATAGCCACACCATACAGGTGACACACACACAAACACACACACACACACGCGCGCGCGCGAGACGCTAACTCGGCTTCTTCACTTTCATTTCATCTCCTTGTTTTGCCACGTCATAGAATAATTGTTTGTGTTCATCTGTTCATCTTAAAGCTAATGATGCCAAAAAAGGAATTTGAGTTGTTTAAGGTAAACTGGAGTGTTTGTGTTCAGTTTGTTTTGATTTCTTTCATTAGTTCAGTTTATCTCCCTGTGTGTGTGTGTGTGTGTGTGTGTGTGTGTGTGTGTGTTGTGTGTGCCTCAATCATATTTTGGGTACAAATTTGTACACAGATTTGAGTTAAACCTCCCAAAACCTCCTTTTAGAGACATCCTCATTTGTAAAAAATGTTATAAAAATAACAGTTTTTCACAAATCGTAAAAATGCAGTGTGTTTTCTGTTAGGGTTATTGTGTTAGTTAGTTAGTATTTATAACTAGCTGTAAATAAAACAATAGATGTCTATGGAATGACTAGTAAATGCTTGTGTGTGTTTTATTTGCTGAGTGTGTGTGTATGTGTGTGTGTTTTATTTGCTGTGTGTGTGTGTGTGTGTGTGTGTGTGTGTGTGTGTTTTATTTTCTCTGTGTGT